CCTCTCCCTCTCCCTCTCTCTCCCACTCCTTCCCTCTTTCTCCATTTCCTTCCCTCTCCATCTTTCTCCCTCCCTCCCTCCCTCCAGCTTTTTACCCTTTATAAACAACCCTTCATTTAAGTAAGCCATATATCAACAAGAAAAGACATTTGCCTCTCTATCTCGCTGTTTCTCTACATCCAGGAACTGAACCAGCGTGCCCAGGGGGAGGTAACTATCCGTGAGGCCATCAGGGAGCTGGAGTTGTGGGGGGCTGGGGCTGTGTTTGCCCTCACAGAGTACGAGGACAGTGGGAAGAACAAGATGAACCTCATCAAGGACTGGAAGGATCTCGTTAACCAGGTATGGGAGACTGGATAAAGATTTGTGTGTGTGTGTTTGTGAGTTGTTGTTTTTTTATATGTGTACCAGATTTGGGAGATTGAGTGAAAGGGATTTATTTTTTTAGTGTGAGTTTTTTCTGTGGGTTTTTTTTTTTTTTGGGGGGGGGAGAGGGCGTTGTATGTGTACCAGATATGTAGATAGAATGAAGGAGATTTTTTTTGAGTGTGAGTTTTTAATTTGTTTGTGAGTACAGAGTATGGTAGATTGGGCGAAGATTTTTTTTTTGTATATGAGATTGAGTTAAGGGGATGTTTGAGTGCTAGTTTTGTGTATATGTGTACCAGCTATGGAAAATTGAGTGAGGGAGCTTTATTTTGAGTGTGTGTGGGGGTTGGGGGGGGGGGTGTTGTGTGTTTACTAGGTATGGGAAATTGAATGAAGGAGATGTTTGTGGGTGCCCCAGATATGGGAGAATGGGTGGTGGAGAATATTTTTGAGTGTCAGTTATTTTGTGTGTGTACATCAGTGTGTTATGGTTTGTTTGTGTCTGGAAGTGAGAGGCAACCAATGCATGCTGCAGTCTCTCATCATTTGTGTGTGTGTGTGTGAAATCATGTGTACATATGTGTGTCATTGTCTGTGTCTATACAGGTGGGAGACAACCAATGCCTGCTGCAGTCCCTTAAGGACTCCCCCTACTACAAAAGTTTTGAGGACAAGGCCTCTGTGTGGGAGCAGCGTTTGGCTGACCTGGACGAGTACCTTCACAACCTGAACCTCATACAGCGCAAGTGGGTCTACCTGGAGCCCATCTTTGGTCGCGGGGCCCTGCCTAAAGAACAAGGGAGATTCAAGAGAGTGGACGATGATTTCAGGTCAGAATCAGTGCAACGTTAAGTTAAATTTCATGTTTGGATTAAGCTAGAATAGGTGAGATCAGGTTAAATTTTGAGGGAATAGACTCTGTGTTTCCAGTCTGTTTACAGCATCACCCAAGCAACAGGGATGCCTCAAGAGAGTAGGCAGTGAATTCAGGTACAGGGTTAAGCGAAATTAGGTTAGTCTGGGCTGAATTAGGCTTGGTTGGGGAGGGCAAAAGGGGAATTGGTTCTGTCTTTACAGTCTACTGCTATTGTTAATATTGACCCAAATAGACTGAGACAGAATGATCAAAGGATTAAAAAATGCTAGAACTCTAAAGATCCAATTTCTATCAATTTGCTTCTTTTTAGTTCAAGTGAACAGGACTTTTTAGTTTGAATATTTCCTAGTAGTACAGGGTTTTACGGCGCTCACAACTGCATAAGGTCATATGAGGGCTGGAAGTGCAGACGCACAGATCAGCCTAATCAACTCTGTCTACTCCAACACCTTAAACAAGTCAGCACATTGTTTTTCTGTACTGTTCTTCTAGAGAGCTTGTTAATGTCAGTGTATGGTTTCGAGGAATTTTTACATCATTATGTTTGACCTTGACCCCCTCCGTCCCAGGAACATTATGCGTGATGTGAACCGCGACAACCGAGTTCTCTCATTGGTCAATCAGTCAGGCCTGCGGCAGTTACTGACCACCATGCTTGATCAGTTGCAGAGATGTCAGAAGTCTCTCAATGAGTTCCTCGAGGTGAGAACATAGGGGCATTCTTTCTAACAAGGAACAAGTCTCAGACTCTTGTTTCTTGATATGTATACTGAGTTTTAAATATTGTTTTTATTTTATGTGTTTTTGTTTGCTCCCATTAACTCGGTTTAGATCATATGGAAGCCAGGCTGCTTTGACCTTGCCTATCAGGGCCAACCTGGCCTGAGTTAAAAACAACATCCTAGCTGACAGACGAATGCGATAAAAAACAACAACTCCCCCACTCAGGAATCGAACTCACACAGAGGCCAGTTATGTACAGTTGATAGAAAATGTCAATGTCAAAAGTCACACTTTACAGTGCAGATTCCTGTTTCTGTCAATGTTGCGATTTAAGAAAATTGTTCAAGATTGAATTTTGTTCAGACCATTCTAACATGTGAGAAAAACATACTGTGTTGTGTGTTTGAGTAAAAACTTTTCACTTATTTTTACTACTTCTATAGAACATTATTGCCTTTCCTTTTTTATGCTTTTTTAAAAATAGTGAATACATGTGTCATGTTTCCGTCTTTTACTAATTTATGTGACATTTTTTTTAAAAAGTCTTTCTCTTCTCTTTTTAATTATGGTTTTTTTTTCAACTCTACTAATTTATGTCATTGATTTGTGTAACTTATGTTTGTCTTTCAGGAAAAACGTTCTCTGTTCCCACGGTTTTACTTCATCGGTGACGATGACTTGCTGGAGATTCTGGGTCAGGCCACAAATCCTACAGGTCAGTTTGTCTTTGGGAAAATGTCTGGACCTTGCATGTGAATATGTCTAGAATTTGTGTGTCTTAGGCTGTCGGTCTTTGACAGGGAATTTGTCAAAACCCTATGTGTCTTAAACAGTCTGTCTCTGACAGGAAATTTGTTTATATCCCGTTTGTCCTATAGAAGTTGTCCCTGACAAGGAGTTTGGTCAGACCCTGTGTGTCCTGTTTGTCCAAAACAGTCTGTTTCTGAAATGGAAAATATCCCTCCTCCTGCTTTTCTGTGTATGTTTCCCTCTAGTAACACCTATTACCTTTGGCACTTATATGATCTATTCATGTTGTAAATACTGTAAGACTCTTAATAAAAGCAAACCAAACTAAAGATTTGTTCCACTGCCTCCAAACTGTTCTCTCCTCGTGGGTGGTTGATCGGTGCTCTTGTGTGGTTTGCTCCCTCTTTCCTATCAAACATCTATCGTCTCTATCTCTCCTCCTTTTTTTGTGTTTGTATGCCCCCCCCCTCCCCCCCCAAAACCGATGTCCTCCCAGTGCTTAAAAGTGACTCTCTTGTAACACCTCAAATCTTCGGCACTTCTATGACCTAATTGTGCTGTTAGTGCCATAAAACTCTTATTTAAACTACATAAAACACAAAAGCCTTCTCTCCTGTGTCCAGTGATCCAGTCTCACCTGAAGAAGCTGTTTGCCGGGATCCACTCTGTGGAGTTTGACCAGGACAATGCTCACATCGTGGCCATGAAGTCTCTGCACGGGGAGCTGGTGCCTCTCAAGCGAAACGTCAAGATCACCCCAGACGTGGAGGTCAGTGCTCACTCGCAGGACGCTAAGTGGGTCTTTTTGTGGGAGAATCTTTTCTTGTTTTGTGTCTTTTCAATAGTAGTTCAGTTTCAGTAGTAGTTCAGTGCTAGCTATTCTTTTTGAAAATGGCTTTTTCCAGTATTTCCTAAGATTTAAGTATTATTTTAGTCCTTGTGAAAGGTATTTTGATAGGCATACTGTCTTAAATGTACCCAAAATTGTTTTTCAATGTTCTTCTGTCCATGTTCAGATGGGAGTGTGTTTAAAATAATATATTCACAATCTTTGCATTCACAATCTTTGATAATTGATCAGCAAGGCTGGTTCATATGCTTTAAACCTCTGCCAATAATTCTGGGCTAAGTTACACCCCCCCTCCCCCTTATATCCTTACATCCTGCTTGCACCTTCTCTCACTCTCCATCTCCTCTCCTCTCCTCCCTCTCTCTCTCTCTCTCTATCTCTATCTCTCTCTCTCTCTCTCTCTCTCTCTCTCTCTCTCTCTCTCTCTCTCTCTCTCTCTCTCTCCTCAAATGTAACATCACCCCCCCCCTCTCCCCATGTCCAGGTGTGGCTGAGTAAACTAGCCGATGAGATGAAGGACACCCTGAAAGAACTGCTGGTCTCCTGTCTTAAGGATGCTAAGTCTGGCCGGGCTGGCCTTGACCCCAACAAATACCCATCTCAGGTCAGTATGGTGCTTATATATGTGTGTGTGTATGAGTGAGTTTGTTTGTGTGTGTGTGTGTGTGTGTGTGTGTGTGTGTGTGTGTGTGTGTGTGTGTGTGTGTGTATGTGTGTGTGTGTATCAACTGCTTAGTGGAAGGTTCCGCCATATGCCTTATTTGAGAAGTAACATGACAAAGTTGTACACTGAGCAGTCGATGTGTGTGTGGGAAAGAGGGTGTATGAGAGAATCTGTGTATATGTGTGGAAGAGGATGTGTGTGAGAGAGTATATATGTGTATGTATATGTATGTGGAAGAGAGGGTCTGTGTCTGTCTGCTTGTCTTTAGATTTTTTGCCAGGTTCATGGAGAACTGTGTGTCTATCTGTGTGTCTGTAGATTCTGTGTCTAACGAAGTACATCCACTTCACAAGGAACTTGTGTCTATGTGCCTGTCTACTCTGTGCATCTTACTACGTGTCTGGCCTTAGATTCTGTTCCTATCTTTGTACATCTGGTTCACAGAGAACTGTGTTATTATGTGTATGTCTGTCTGTTCCTAATGGAGTACATTCTTTTTACAGAGAACTCTTTGTCTGTTTGTGTGTTTATCCATCTTTGTGTCTGTCTGTCTGTAGATTCTGTGCCTTACGGAGTACATCCGGTTCACGGAGAACTGTGAGGAAGCCATCAAGAGAAACAGCCTGCGTGAGCTCCTGGGGGAGGTGGAGAGTCAGCTGGAGGGTTACACAGGAGTGGACCTGGGAGGTGGAGGATCCACAGAGGCCAACGGTGAGACCAGACGGTCTAATTAGCTGGATGTTCTTTGACATTTTCTCTGGGTTAGAAGTGAACATTTTAATTTTTATAAAAGCAAGAGCCAACAGGCTTTAAAATTTGTTCATGTCTGGTCTCAAAGGGAGGAACAGTGTTGAAAGGAGCATCAAAACCCATACACTTACTTATTTACTTACTTCTTAGAGAAGTGGGTACAGTTCGTCTGACATGTTCTAATACATATACTGGTCAGTAGAAATGATGTTTCAGTGCTTTTTTTTAATTTCAATGTATGAGGCTCCGATGATTGTTTTCAGTGTTGCAGCTTATAGTTGAGTGAAGGTTTTTCTTATTTTGTTACATTGTGCTGACATGCTTTTCTTTACTCAAACAAACTTATAGGTGATTGTTTAACATTGTACTTGTTCTTCTCAGTCAGTGCATGCCAACCTGGGCTATATCACCCTCTAATGAGGGTTTGGTTATTTTTATGGGTGAGGGGGATCACCTGGGTAGTGGCTGGTATTATTTAATGCCCTGCTTAAAAATACATGTATGTGAGTGGTATGAAAATGTTAGCCTCTTACAAGTAGGGAATGTGGGCGCTGGTTGTTAAAAAGGTTGACAAGCCCTGTTGTCAACATTACATGTACTGATTGTCCTGCTTCAACAGTGCTACAGCTGAAGCTGAAGGCTTTGATCCTTGACACCATTCACAACATGGAGGTGGTACATCAGCTGATGGAGGCGAACATACGGACCATGCAGGACTGGCAGTGGCAGAAGCAGTTACGGTGAGTGCATAGAGGTGCTTATTCACGTTCATTTATGTGTGTAAATATACACATACTCGCACACGCACATGCACACATACAAGCACACATGCATACAAACACACACACATGCGTGCACATACACACACACACACACCAAGCACACACAGGCACCCATGCATGCATATAGACACTCACACACATGCACACATGTACACACACTGACACACACTGCACGCACGCACACCCACCTCACACATGCACACATGCATGCATAATTGCACACATGTACACATACATACACATACTCAATCATCATTCAGGGATGGCAATGGTAGAAATAGTCACTGTACAAATACACACTCACACACACACACACACACACACACACACACACACACACAAACACACAAACACACACTCACAAACTCATGTTTTATTTTGTAATTTCACTTGTTGTTGTCTTTGTTTGTTTCTGTTTTTCTTTTTCTTTGTCTTTTTAAATATTTTTCACCGTTATCGTGTCAGTGTGTTATGGTGTCATTGTGTTAGTGTGCTATTGTGTAATTTTGATATTGTGTCAATGCATTATTATGTCTTTGTGTGATTGTTTCAATATGTTATTTCTTTTTATGTTATTGTGTATATATGTTATTGTATAAATGTGTTTTTGTGTCATTGTGTCAACGTGTTATTACTTTTTTGGTTATTGTTTATATGTGTTATTGTGTGAATGTGTTATTTTGTTTTTGTGTCATTGTAGCAATGTGTTATTTCTTTTTTTTTGCTTTTGTGTATATAATATGTTATTGTGTAAATGTGTTTTTGTGTCCTTGTGTCAATGTGTTATTGTGTCTTTATGTTATTGAGTGTGTTGTTGAGTCATCTATTAACACAAACAAGCCCAAACAAATAAATATTTTCCATTGTCTTTGTTGTGTCTCCCTGTGCAGGTACTACGTGCGTCGTGACGGCCTGTGTCTCATGAGAATGGTAGACTCGGAGTTCGAGTACACGTATGAGTACCAAGGCAATGCGGCCAAACTGGTACACACACCTCTCACAGACAAGTGTTACCTCACTCTCACACAAGGTACCTGACAACACTGGTTACTGGTTGCTTACTTTGTCGTTGCTGTTTTGTTTTGTTTGGGTTTATTTGGGGGGTATAGCGTATTAGAGTGTATCACTGATTGGTCCTACTTTTTTACTCTCCATCTATTTTTTCTGTCTGTGGTTGTTGCTTTTTCCTTGCACTAAATAAAAGTGATTGTGTTGATGTATTTTGCCCAGACAAAAGCCTTTTTAAAAATAAATTTCTCTTTTTCCAAAGTCCCAAAGGACAATGGTCTGTCACAAACTGCCTCCTATACTTTGTCATCACATGAGGTAGATATTAGTCGAGGATGGTCTTGTTTGCGACTTACGTACAAGTAGTCCAGTTAAACAAATGTTGTTTTATTATTATAGTGCACAGGTGTATATAAGGCACTTGTAAATAAAAGTTAATCCGTATTTACGTAGTTAACAAACCAATGTTCTGCCTAGTCTATACAGTCCAATGGTTGAATGTCACTGGTAAGTCTAAAATCTTTCCTTTCTCTTTATTACTTTATGAGCAGTCGATCTACGGTCTGGACTGATTGGCTCTTCCTAGTTCATCGAACTTCTCTCTCATTGTCTTGTTTCTCCTCCGGAATTATTTAATTAACTCTTTAACCATGCAATTTATAATCACGTTTCCGCATAATTCTCTCGTGTTTGTTGAAATACGACTCGACTTATTACGTTCTTAAAACCGCTTGTTTCGTCTTCCGGGTCAAACTAAAGACCTGTTAGCTCGAACTTTTTAATATTCGGCCCTAACTATAATACAATAATAACTTCGCATCAGACGGTGGTACCGTCCAGTCATGGTTACGGACCTCGACTACTGGATGCTGCCACCATCCAAACATGGTTAAAGAGTTAATTGCTGTGCTCCGACCATTGACAGTGTTAAGAAATGTTTGTCATAATGATTTCTCAATAGCATTGTATGGTTTAATGCGTGTTGTCGCTTTTTACAATCCTTTTTTGGACAAATAAGGTGTTTCTTTCTTTCTCTCTCTCTCTACACTTGGATCTGGGAGGTATACATATGGACAAATTAAAGTGTTTCATGCTCTCTCTCACACATGGGTCTAAGAGGTACACATATGGACAAATAGTGATATAATGTGTTTATTTCTCTCATGCCACACTTGGGTCTTGAAGGTATACTTACAGACAAATGATAAAATAATACGTTTCTTTCTCTCTCTCCACACATGGATCTGAGAGGTATAGTTTTCTCTCTCTCTCAACTCATGGATGTAAATAGACAAAGGGTTTCTTGCTCTGTCTCCACACGTGGGTCTTACAGGTATACATATAGACTAACAATAATTATGTTTCTTTCTCTCCTTCTGTAAAGGTATGCACATGGGCCTGGGAGGGAACCCGTACGGCCCAGCTGGTACTGGCAAGACTGAGTCCGTGAAAGCGCTGGGTGGCCTGTTTGGTCGACAGGTGCTGGTCTTTAACTGTGATGAGGTGAGAATTGAACCTTTTTCCTTCTGTGTTGCTGGTGTCTCATCTCTTTGTAGAGAAGCAATTAAGCTTGGTGAATAATTTTTTATTATATTTGTTTTTTGTGGGACTGCATTATATGTAAAAAGGATAAGGTACACTTTACTGATCTTTCTGTAGAAGCACTATTTAAACCCAAGGCATCTTATCAACCTGTCATGTTCTCCCTGCTTCACTTATTCACTCATTCTCTCTCACTTGTCCACCCATTCTCTCCCTTATTTATTCACTCACTCTCTGCCTAACATATTCTCTCTCTCTTTCTCTCTCTCTCTCTCTCTCTCTCTCTTTCTCTCTCTCTCTCTC